GCCAAAGGCCCCCCCCCCCCCCCCCCCCCCCCCGCGATTCCCCCGTCCCTCTCGTCCTCCCATTCCGGGCATTACTATCGAAACGGCTCCTTAACTGCTGTGGACATCTCCAGGTGCTCATCCTCGACGTTGACGGCACGCTGTACGGCCAAAGCAGCGGGGTCGAGCAGCAGGTGAACTTCTTTCGGAAGAAAAGTGAACATACAGGAGACGTGTGCGGGCGGAGGCCCCTGTATTTGGAGTTGCCAACGAGATTTCGACCAACACCTCCCAGAAACCGCAGCAGTCGTGTGGGTGCGCTCCCATGCCGCGATGGCTTCGAAGAGCGGTCGTGCCCCGGACAACAATGCTATGACTTGCAGCTCATGGCAGTCTTCTGTGGCATGGAACAGGACAGCCCTCCCGTTAGATTCGAGGCCCCCACCCCCCACCTCTACCTTCCACGCCCCACCTCGTTCCGTGGTAAACATCCGTGGTAAACTTTTCGCCTCCCCCCCCTGGGGCATAGGAAGTGATATCGATAGGATAGATAAGGGGAAACGTTTTTGAGCCACCTTTTGGCAAAGTAGGAAGGAACGGTTGGCCATCGGTGATTCGTCCTGTGGGAACATAGGTCCGTGCTCTCGAGGACGCGTGGTCAAACCGCTATAGCATACAAAAACATGGGTACGCCCACCCACCCACCCCCCCGCCGGCCGCCCGAACCCCCTCGGTGGATGATGATGCCACAGATTGTTGACGGGATTCACAGGTACTTCGCTGGAGAGCTCGGGCTTACCCCGGAGGAGTGCAACGACATCCACCGGAGGTGAGACAGGGGCATCAGAGGCCTCCACCGCCTCCTCCGCTTTCAGCAGCAGCCGGACCTTGAGTCTCCACTCGTGCTGCTGGCTGCTGATCGAATGCGCTGTCTCGGGTACTTTCCACGGCCAACGCTGCTCTGCCCTGGTGGTTCATCTCCTGCGTGAGCATGTGATGCTCGCCATCTTCAGTGACACCTCGGCCGGAGTACTGGAACTCCGCAATCTGGGCGTATTTCTGTCCTGCTTCTTCGATCACCATGGTGGCGGGGGTGGTGGTGGTACATAACAGCGGTGATTCCCCCTCCTCCTGCTGGTTCAAATATTAGTAACAAAAAAACTAGCAGCTAGCTACTCTGAGCCTTGTTTTTCTGCTGATGTGTGTGGCTCTTTGCGTATCCCTTCGTGCATGCACCAGTAGTGTTCAGGATTGGCGTCATATGAAGCTGTGGTTGTTGGGCGAGGGTGCTGCCCATGCGCGTGACTACGGTAGCCTCCGTCGCGTCGGCCTAACTCTGGTGTTCGCGGGATGTACCCCCCTCCCTCCCTCCCCTCCCTCTCTTCCTGCCCCCCCTCGCTCCCTTCCTTCCGCCCTCCTTTCCTCCC